GAGGCCGGCCCCGCTGCAGCAGCCCCCCGCACTCACAGTCGAAGACGGAGGCCTCGGAGATGTCGCGCACGGCCGCGGCCTCCACGATGTTGCGGATGACGAACTTCTTGATGGCCTTGTCCTTGGGCACGCAGCGCGCGCAGTTGGTGCAGCGGATGGGCTGCACGTGCCCGCGCCCCTTCTTGGCGCGCCCGTTGTTGCGCCTCTTCCGCGTCTCCCCCCCGCCCCGCGCCGTGCCGCTACCCACCATCTTGCCGCCGAGGAGACGAAAGAGGATCCGGCTGCCGTGACGCGACTCTTATATACCTCGCCTCGGCTCCCTGGTATCCCTCCGCCGGCCTCCGGAGCTGCCTGCCCGCCCGCAGCCCCCCCAAAGTAAGGACCCCCCCCACAACACACACACACACACACACACACACACACAAGACGCTGGGGGTAAATGGGGAGCGGGGTTTCGTGCCCCTGGGAGGGACGGACTATTTGAGCGGCGTCGGCGGAGGGATCTGACGTCACGCCAGGGAGAGAAAGTATACGCGACAGCCCGGCGTGGGGGTACGTAACGCACCCCGGAAGCGGCCCCCCGCGGCATGATGGGGGATGTAGTCCCCCCTGCCTCCCTCCGGAGACACGTGGTACTGGCAGTGGCTCAGGAGTGCTAACTCCAAACCCCCTTGGGTCCTCCCATATAGAAGCCCTGGGAGGGTGCAGATTCCCCCCCCCCCGGCCCCATGTGCCCCAAGGGAGGGGGTGCACTACTACCCGCCCCTCCAGTGACACTCCCTGCCTCACAAGGGAGGGGGTGACTGTCATGGTCTCTCATGGGGGTGATGGGGAGATGAGTGAGACCTCCAGCCCAAAGCTGCCTCCCCCCCAATTTGCGGTCCCCAAAGCTGTGGCTTGCTGGAAATGGTGGGTGCTGATGCCCATCTGCTGCCCGCCCCTTGCCCTTCTCCTCCCAGCCTCTTGATGCCTCCACGGCATCTACCACCGGTGCCTGACAGCACCAACTGCCCCCGAGCCTTAAGCCATCCCTGCCTTGGCCAGGAGCTTCCCTGCAGGCAGCAGTTTCTGCTCCTCCCTCTGGGGTGAGCAGGTCCCGGGTGCAGGGTGGGGGCTCGGCCAAGAACCACTAAGTGCGTCCCAGCAGGGTGAAACCCTGGAGAAATGGGAAGGCCGCTGCTGGAAGACAACTAGCCGATCCCACCTCGATCAGGCTCTGACAGCCTGGGAGAGCGGCACATCGCTCATGTGGCTCTGCCAGCCCAGCCGTGCGCCACGGAGCCACCGTGGCAGGTGGGCAGGGTGCAGCAGCGAGGGGGGGCAGACGAGGACAAGAGGTAGGGGTCTGGCCTCTTATCCCCTGCCACTGTTCTCCCTGCCACAGCTAAAAGGGGGTGAATCTGAGAGTGCTGTGAGCCACGGGGCCACATGGGTCCCAGCTCAGGAGCTCCCATGCTGCAAAGATGCATGTAAGCATGCTGCTTCCCATGAGGAATGACAGCTACGAGCCTGAAGGCTTGGGGTTCGGATGCCCCTGAGTTTCTCTTGCCCTTAGCCATAAGACCCCAGAAGCAATCTAGGGAGGAATCTCCCCTTTCCATAAAGTGGACATAAAGCCAAGACCTTCCCATTCCAGCAGCTAAGTGGGAGATTTACTAAACATTACCTTGGCAGGTACTATTCCCATGCCAGGAGAGCGGTCTTCCCTGGGTGCAGCTAGGAGGACCGCGTCACTGGTCACGGTGTTTCCCTTGCCAGGTAAGCACAGGATTATGCCTGATCTGAGCCCATGAGAGGCCGAGAAGCGGTCCTGTTTGAGCAGGGGTTGGATGAGGTGTGACCTCCCGAGGTCCCTTCCAGCCCTCATGGTCTATGATCCTATGAACCAAGAGCAGCCCCAGGGCTGCCACCCCTGCGAACCAGCCAGCGCTGGTCAGGACTCTGCAAGTCCCGGGCTACAGGACAACGGCCCTAGGACACGGGTCCTCACACTCCCTGCTGGAGCCACCGCCTCTTTAGGCCTCAGTTGCCTTTCTGTGCAATGGGGGGTGCTGCCTCCTCCCTCCCCCGGGGTTGGGCTGATCTTACTCTGGAGACCAACCAGCCCTGCCCGGGTTTCAGCTGGGAGATGGCTGGCGGTTCAGGCTGAAGCAGCCGGGGCGTTAAATTACTCATGTTTATTTATAACAGACCTTCAGCCAGTACAGTACAAAACTTACAGTAGTATATCTCCATTACACAAATAATTACTTACAATATATTACAGATACAAAAAGCTTCTGCGGTAAGTTTGTTGGGGTGGGGGGGGAGGGTTGTTTTTAAAAGCGAGTCTAACCTCACCAAAAAAGGGGAAAAAACAAAGACAACAGCAAATCCATTAACGATATACAAATGAAAACTCGTTAGAAAGGAGGGAGGAGTCGTAACCAGAGGGGGGTCGGCGTATTGCACATCGTCGGTTTTGTTCTTCATACATCTGATTAAAAAATATAGAGATATTTACACGGTAAAGCGACCTGGAGTTTTACAAAATTCCTACCTTGGTTTCAGACTCTTCGTGGGGTGGGCGAGGGGGGTGTGGGGAAGAAAAAAGAGACGGAGAAAAGCGGCTTTTTGAAATGTCAGAACTTCCGTATTTTCCTTCCAAAACCCTTGGGGTTTCTGTGTTCATCTCGGCTCTCTGAGGGGAAGGGGGATCTGGGGCTTCTTCATGATCAGCACATCTGCTCCGGGCCCATGGTCCCTGGTGGTAACAGTCGGGTGGCGGGGGCAGCTGCGTGTCGCACCAAATGGACCCTCTCGCCGCGCAGCGGTCGTGGTCACAGTGAGCTCGTTGGTCCTCTGGCCGCCAGTGGGAGCCTGGATGTGACCCAGGGCCACAGGATGGGATTCGGAGCAGATTGGAGAAAACAGCACAGCGGCCGGGTGAGACGCTGGTTCTCAGCCACAACCCACCTTTCGCCGGGGGCCTCGCCAACTCCAATCAGAGCTGGCAAAGGTCAGGCTGTGGCCTGCGGGCGGTTCCTCGGGGCTGGGCCCAGCGGGGGTTTGGCTCGCGAAGACCTGTTGAGAACTGCACGTCTGTTTTGCCTTTTATTGCTTCGTTTTGGAAAGCCACTGGAGCTGGCGCTGCCCGGGACACCCCGGCAGGCTCAAAGATGTTGCACAGGTCTGCGTCGGGCCCAGTCAACCGGGCCTCTGCGCTCGGGACCGCTCCATGCAGGTTGCGCGCTAAGAGCAGCTCTTTCCAGGGACGTTCAGGAGCCCGGCTCAACACCGGAGCCGGGGCATGAGGGCTGGGCTGAGGCCCGGGAGGCAGGGACGCGCGGGGCTCTGACGCCTCCGGCTACCAGGCTGGCCCTACCTCATCCTGATCAGCATCCGGTTCCTCTGGCCCTGAACAGGCCATGTCTGCCTCCCTCAGCTCCAGAGAGAGGCCGGTTCTCTCCTGCCGGACGATGGTGACCAGAGAAACAGGGTGTCCTGGCGGGCGGACACAGCCTGGCGCACAGCACCGAGCGCTCTCAGAGGTGGCCAGTGGCGCGCGCAAGTCCTGGCCTGGGGGCGGGGGCTGGGAAGAGGTCAGGAAGAAGCTCGCGGGCGGCGAGGGTGTGGGGAGGCTGGGGCAGCCGGGCCGCCCGCGGGCTCTCACCTGGCCCCCGGCTCGGACGCAGCGTCAACAAAAAAGCAAGAAGAAGGAAAGGGCGAGCAACGGGTGTTGCCACGTGAGGTGGTTCCGTTTGTGTTCGTAGAAAAGAACAGCCTTTGGTTTCAGCCTCGAGGAGCAGTGGCGGCTGCTGCCGAGTGGTTGCTTTTATGCATCGTGGGCCTCGGAGGGGGGCGAGGGGGGAGCTGGCCCCTCCCACGCGCTCCTGGGATAGGGGCTTTGCCCC